GCACTGAGCAGTTTTCTAGTTTTACTCTGAGAATATTGAGCTACAGGAGGAGGAACGTGTGCATACCTACCCATATGACTGCTAGCAGCTCACTTATGCTTTTGGCACAAGCTTGCTGCTGGTTCCTTGATATCTGTGACAGAGGAGCGCTTTCCTAATGGATTGAAGATGAATGAAACAATACTGTGGAAGTCTACATCAAATAGGGAATTGGGTCCTGCCTTAATATGTAAACTGTATCTGATTTGTTGTTGTTCCCTAAACAAATGAATCTCCCTAAACAAATGAATCTCTCTAGTGTAAATATTTGAAGACCCAGCAATAGCTTAACGTTCCCTATCATTGTCTATGTTTATCTTGAGCAGCTGAGCCGTTACTAGCAGCACAACACAAACTACCTTCTCTTCTGTGATTTTGATAGTAATTTGAGACTTTCAAAGGGAGACCTTGAGACTTTGAGTATGGGACTTTCATATTACTATTAGGCATTTGCTAAAATTGTGGGACTGTCTTCTAATCACTGTTTCTTCCTTGAAGAAACACTAGTATGTGTATAATATAGCATAACAAATAACTGCTGAATGGTTAATCTGGGAAGCTTGCAGCCATTAGAAGTGTCGAAGTATTGCTACTGCTTTACAGTGCTCAGAATAGCAGCTATAAACAACTATGTTAACATTAGTCAGCTGAAAACAGTAGCAAAGTCCAGTATGTCTTTCCGTGATTTGCTTCCTCCTTTCTATAGGTACTGAAAAGCCCTGTGTTCTCTTGAAGACTTAATGCCCCTCACTTTACAAAGACCTCCTCTTGTAGGGTGAGCAAGCTTTTTTGTCACGCTTCAAGCTATTTTTAAAAGTTGCAAAGCTCAATACTTCTAAAATAAGAGCCCTCAGGTTTTTAAAATATTTGCAGAAAAATTCAGAAAACTGTAAGACAAGAATAAAAAGTTTATCATACTGAGTAAATAAAGCAATGAAAGCTCAAAGCAACCACTCTTGTTAGTGTTTCTCACAAACACACACCCCAGCATCTTTCACCCCCTTTCCCTGCCCTTCCTCCCTCCCTCCTCCCTCCCCCCCCCCCCCCCCCAAACCTTCATACTTCAAAACACACCTTAGACACTTGGTCTTCCTGAGGTTTCAGTTTGGGAAAGGCTTCTGACCATTCATTTCCAAGTGTCATATAGGTCCATGAATTGTTTCCAGTTGTTCTATGCTCAGCCCTAGATGTGAAATATCTGAATATGTTTTGAAACAGTGGACACTTAATCTCCAAATTGGTGAATACATCTTTAATTTTAAAATCCAACTCGTGTTAATGCCATCCCAAATCAGCTGCTACTTCTGCCTTATGGAACACAGGCATATGTTTATGAAGTGACTTAAAAGGCTTCTCTGCTGAGTGTGCCTCTTTTGCCCTTTAAGAGGAAATGGAGAAGCTGGCACTGTTAACGTAAATGCAACTATTAAACCAAACTGTGCTGATTCCTCTTAGAAGTATCTTGAAGCATTATTGACAGCATCTGTTCGATACAGCTGCCTTGTGAGGAGGTTTAGGACATTAGTGTTTCTCAGAACTAAATTGGATCTTGTAAAGCAGGAGAATGAAGGTGTGTTCGTCACAAGAGTGAGATGGTTCAGGTTTTTGCAGCTGCGCTTCATTTGAACCACGTTTTATCTGATTTATGTCTTACTGTAGGCTCTGGTGCCATGTGAAGGAAGCCTTAATTTATTCTAAACAATAATCACCTGTGTGGGATTCAGAAGGGAAGATGACTCGAGTTAGGATATGAAATCTGACTTTAGAACTTCTTGAAAGATGAGCTTTGTTCCTTGCTTATTTCCATTCCAATACAAGAGATACTTTAACATACTTGCTGTAGTTGTTGCATAGCGCTTTTTCTGAGGAATTGCCAACACATTACTGCACTGTTGAGGAATGTGATATTTCTAGTATTCTACTTCAGTGACTAGATTAAATAACTGATGAAAGCCTGTTACTTTGAGGGGCTTGTTGTCTTTGTAATAAATGATTCACGAAATATCCTGCTTTTGTGCTTGTTTGCAGTGCTCTTGTTTATACATCATGTCTTCCTGCCTCTGTTTTCAGGACCTTTGCTGTGATTTCTTGCTTAGAGCATGGGGTGTGTGTGTGTGGTTTTTTGTTTTTTTTTAAACACTCTATAAAATCCATTATTAATACTTTAGTAATTGCTTAATGATCCTGTGTCGCAACTTAGTTTCTTCCTCTATCTGGGCTATTGAAAAATGCATTTGAGTGCCTGAGTAATTATTTTAACAGAAGCTTTATAATAAAGTAAAGCACTCAGCAGTAGAAGAATTAAGAAAAGGGCACAGGTCATCTGTGAACAGGACCCCTATTTGATTTGCCTGTGAAACTGTACATACTAGAACTTGTATTCACTGAATGTGTTTTGAGTATGCAGCTGGTTTGCGACAGTGCCACATACTGATTTTTGCAGAGAAGCCGGAGTGTCTGGAAATATGTTTATGGAACATACAACATGAGAAGAAATTGAAGCATATTCACATGCTTGCTTCTACCCGACTTGAGTGGAAATTACCGCAAATAAAACAGGATTTATTTCCTGCGCTTTTGAAGTGGATGAACTTAAGAGCCCAGCAGAGTTTGAATCGAGCATGCCACCCTCATCTTTAAACAGTAAAATGCAACTGATAAGTTATGTTTGTTCTGCTAGCTGCCTTTTGAAATGCAAACACGTTAACTTGCAAAGTCACGCAAGCTTAACCGGCAGTATTTGTACAGTGGCTCTTTTCCTTGTTGTTGTTTTGCTGGATTTTTTTTTTTGTACCTTATTTTGCTGTGAGGCTATTCAGAAGAGGAATCCGACTAATATGGATTAATTTTCTGGTATGTTGATCCACCTTGGAGGAGAAAAAAAACAACTTATAGGAAGTGATGTGGAAAGTTTTAACAAGCTGTCAGGTTCGTTCTATGAAATTCAGATGTTGCAGAAACTTTTTGTCACGCTAACTTCAGGTTTTGTTGTCTGGACTGCTCTGTTTGAGGTGATGTTCACAAGTGTTTCATTGCAGTAAGGCATACTTAGACACTCACTGCAATGACTTATGTACAAGAAAGTCCAAAATATAGCTAGTAATTTTATCTCAAATTTTTAAAGTAAGATTTTACTCAGATTTTGCAGCAATGTAGAATCACAGTTCTGCATAATAATGCCAAACAAGTAGTAAAAGCGCTCTTCCTGGCAGGACTCTGAGATAAAGCGTGTTTAATGACTTACTGAAGCTTGTGTGTCATATCCAGTGACCAATATTATATAGGATCCTACTGCATGTTTAGTATATAATGTAGATGAGGGGGAATGTGTATTGTAATTGAGTTGATCTAAACTGAGAGGAATAGTATGAACGTGTTTTCCTTTAGTACTGTTCCTGTTTTTCTGTACGTGACACAGAAGTCTTGAGACAAGTATCTAATCCTGTCACACCACCTACTGTTGAAATGCAGACACTGGCCATTAGTGTTTTCTTTACCTAAATCTTCATGTCATCCCCTTTTTAATGTCATGCTTTCTTGATCTTACTGCAAATCGATGGTTTCTTAATCACTGATACTGGAATAGAGATCCTTCCGCAAAACTAATGCGGAACAAACTGAAATAACTGCCTAATGTGTGTTGTTTCAACTGTCTCTTGCACAGCTTAAGCATAGCTGAAATGTGGTTATGGTTCTAGTGGCAAGAATAAAAGGAAGGGTATTCTCTTTAAATAGAAATTTGGTTATCTGAGGTAAAATGTAAAACACTTCAGGCATGTATTTTTTTTTTTTTCTCAAGTAAGAGAGGCTATGCTGGTCAGACTTGAAAATGGCAATTATACCCCTAGTTAAGATGCATTTAACATACCTAAATCTAGCTTCCATATCGCTGTTTTTGTTCTATACAAAAAAAAAGCATATTTTGCATAGTTATTTGGAGCACTATCTAAATACCTTAGCATCTAAAATGTAAATCAGAGCTAGTAAGAGTTAGTTTAGTGCCAACACAAAAAGTCTGTGTGTACATAATTTCCTTTGGGCCATTGGAGTATTAATCTGAGCGCATATTTTTAGGAATAGACTAGAAGCCTGATGTAACTAAACTGAAATTTTCTTGCTGAAAGTGTGGTTTCTTTGTTAGTAGCACAACAGTAAACTCCTGTCTGAAAATTACACAGCTGCTATCTTCTCTATAGATGTTCTTCTTTAAATAGGTTGGTTAACGTAACTTTTGGGCACTTGTATGCAACAAGCTCAACTGAAAACAGCAATTAATGCAAGCATGTGTCTGCACCAGTGTGGCCGTTAAGGATGTGGATCCAGGGAGTGCTGTTGAACTAGTTCTGCAGAACTCATCAGTTTTAAGTATGTTATCTGAGCACAGCACAGTTGGTTTTTCTTGTGCCCCTTTTGTCCCTGAAAGGATGAAATTATCTTTTAAAATGGAAAAATAACTCTGTGTTGTGGAGGGAAGATACAAGTAAAAGACACTTTCTTGGATTGCCTTTGAGTTAGAGGTAACATTTTTTAGGGGATTGCCAGTGCAGGTAACCTTAAAACACACAAGCTGTAGAATGCAGGAAAGGCTGCCCATACAAACGTCCACCTTGAAGGCCAATGAATGTCCGCCTTGAAGGCAAGGTCTTGCTTTGGTCCTGAGGTCAGTATGCAGGTAAAACTAGATGCTTTAAATCCTCAGGACTGTTTTGATGTGTTGACAGTATTTTTATCAAGGAGAATTGGATAGTAGGAGCTAAAAACCTTAAAAGCATTGCCTTTATTTACCACGTAAGTATGACGTGCGTTAAGCCTTATATGCATGTTTCTTATAGGTGTAAGTCTTTTAATTGTAGGCGTATATGTAAAAGACGCAATTGCTTAAGCTTTTTTTTCCTTTCTTTCCTCTTTTGTCCCTGCCCTTCACCTTCTCCACTCCCCCTGGCCCCCACCCCAATTGACAGGTGTAGGGACCTCTCCCCGGGAGAAGCCTGCCTCCATGAAAAATTCTGCAGCCTCTTGGGCTAGCTCTGGTAAACCACTACTTAAATCCAAAGTGCCTGTCAAAAGGTCAGTGCTGGAGAGAACCCATAGCATCTCATCAGTCAGCAGCACTCAGAGTGAGCGAAGTCTTCTCAGCAGTAATTGTAAGTATCGGTCAGTGTTACGGGTTTTAGCTGATACACAGCACCAATTCCTTGTTGCAGAATCCCTTTGAAGGGAGTTGCCATCTGATGCAAGACCTGTTAGTTCTCCTCTTACTTCTCTTATTAGTTCTGGGTCTTACTCTTTTTACTTAACTTGCAACTCTCCTTCTTAAAACATACAATCCACAGGAGCTCTGAGACTTGGTTTTTAGTTTGTTGAATAAAAATTTTTATATGACTGCTCTTCTATCATGAAGCATTACAAAACCAGCAGGAGTGCTTGAGCAGAACCTTCCTTGCAGGCAGCATTTGGAGGAGGTCTAATAAGACATAAGTGTGAATGCTGTGAATGGATTACTTGTCATAGTATTTGGAGCAGCGCATTACAGATCTTTTTTACTAAATGCTCTTGTTGATGTAGATTGTATCTTGTTTTTAGAGTTCTAAGACAAAACGCATAGCTGAGATTAAAAAATAGATAGCTGGAACTGCTTCTGGAAAGTGCAACTTTGAATGGGTAGGCTTTTATCATCTCTAATGTAACTATAAGCACTGGCGTATGACCTGAACCAAATCCATCTTGGTTAAGACTGGGGTAGAAAAATAATGCAACTAGCTTTAATACAAAGCTTGACCAAGGGTCTGTACCAGCAGTTGTGGGAGTTCCAGGGGAAAAAGTGTAAAGGAACAACACAACTGACTCTTAGTCAGACATGTCAGTCTTCCCAGCTATACATATTCAAATGAGTACACTGAAATATTCTATTACTATCGCATCATCTCTTTTATCCTGGAGATAAAATGGGGTAAAGGCATTTCCTTTATGCCAGATGTCTTTGAAATCTGTCTTGGACTGAAAAAGAGAACTGTGTGTTAACGTACATGTGTAGCTTATGTATGCATCCATATATAATAAGTTCTTCCATTTCTTTGTTTTCTTCCCTGTAGTGTCCTCATTAAAAATGAAAAACTACCATATTCCTTGAAGGAATAAGAAGGCATGTAATAAAATATGTAGTACATGTTTCTCTGTAAGCAGATTGATTCTGCTACCCTGACAGCCATGTTGACTTTTGCTGTTCAGTTTTAGAAGTGTATCGGGAATTCCTAAGCAGCTTTGTCCTCTCTTCCTTTTTTTTTTTTTTTTTCTTCCCCCTCCTCTCCCTCCTGTAACAAAGGAAAGGGTCATCGCTTCAAAACAATGAAATGTACTCTATTCAGATTAAGCATCCAACTGATGACTCCTTATTTAGTGTGATTTGCTAGCTGGTTTAATCTGTTTTGTCCACTGCCTTGAAGCTTGCAGTTTTTTCCACTCTGCTTCACTAAGAGCAAGCATGAGGAATATGAGAGGTTGAACATGGCTGCAGTCTCTCTGATTTTAGACTTGCTCTGATCTATTTTAAATGACTATACCAGGAGGACTCCGCAGTTGCACAGAAACTAATTTTTCTCCTGATATTTTCATCAATTCTACACTAATACCACCGACTGAATCAGGAAGCCACTATGATATTACCTTACTGACATTGCTGATAGTGGGATCTTACAGCTTTTGTATTATTCCTTTGTTAGCCACCTTTACTGGGAAAAGAAGTAGGTTGGTTTTTTTTGGTTTTTGTTTCTAAAGCATGTATTTTGTTTTGCTGAGACTGCTAAATGTGTCAGATGTTTTGGCTTGTTGTTTTTCCCTGAGATGATTTTCTTTAGATAAATTGCTGAACTTAGTGAAAATGATTTGAATCTGGTTATAGGTTTTTGTGAGCATCATGAATTTGGGTTTCATGTGATTCATATGTTAGTATACTGAAGTTCTTATGACTTTGATTCATACCGGAAAGAATGAATAAATTTACCTTTTTAGTGTAATGTTTTAATGTATAGTTCTGTTCTTGTTTTTTATTGGCTCAGTCTACTATACAATGATGTCAGGAAAATAAAAGGAAAATCTGTATTTGCAAATAACATTAAAATGTTTCTGTTAAATTAGTGGGACATACAAAGATCAAAATGGGCAGCTTATGCTGTGAATGTCATGGAAATTCGTGACCAAAGCTATTGTAGTTCTGTGGACAGCGTTAAATGATCCTAGTTTAGCTTGTTCTGCTTATGGAGTTTGCCTTTTGTTGGTATATAAAAGACAGTGTTACTCGTGCTGTGCCAGCTCAGCCCTTTGTTATGGGATGTACTTAAGGATTAGTAATTTCCTGTTACAGCATTAATCTTTCTTTATCTAACAAGGATTTGAATTTTATGATTCTTTCCTCTAAAGAAACTCTCACTATTATGAGATATTTGGAAATCATGAAATTAGAAGTGCTGATGATGTTAAATAATAAAAGCATATTTTGCATACAGCCTGTAGGTGCGAGCGTTGAAAAATGAATTTTTAACAGCAAAATTGTGAGGAAAACTTCAACAGTAAGCTGAAAATACTGTGATTGAACATGCTGAAATGTTTAAACTCTGAGGTTAAAAGTAGGAGTCCAAACTGTAATTGCATACAGAGGGAATAGTGTTTCAGTCTTCCGGAAGCTGATCATAACAATTGACCTTGAGCTGCATTTCTATGTAGTTCCAATACTTCAGTAAAAATCTTGCTGTGAGTTGAAGTTTTTAACCCTTTAGATCAAAGCTGGTGTGAGATGGTTTCATACCTGTCAGTCTTTCATCAAAAGATTGCAATAGCTACTCAGAATTGTAGAAGAAAATATCTTTGGATTATATGCGACTAAACTTTGCAAGTCTGCCTTTCTTGTGTGCGCATTGCCTGACTCTAGAGCTTCTAATAGAACATAACAGCGCCTAACTAGTCTTGTGCCAAAAGTGTGCTTAGTCAAAGTGTTACTTCCCTGGCATGCTGCTGATTTATAAGACAATAGCACAGCAGTTTGTAGGCAGCAGTTGGATGCCCGCCGTGATTTCTGAGCAAATATCTTTAATTTAGTAATCTGGAAAAAGTTACAAAATGCCTAAGGACTGATGCTTTACTAGAACAAATTAGTTTGAGTTATCTGGTATTGGTCAGGGTCAGACTCCACCAGAATAATTGCATCGCTGATGTAGCATACAAATTGTTCCTCGTGTATAGATTTTTTTTTTTTTTTTTTGCAAATGTTTAGGGGTTTTTGCCTTTAGAAAGTTTCAAACAAAGCAGATCTGGTCCTCCTGCTGTTGCGGAAGATGTATTGATATATGGTCAAGAAGCATCGCTGTGAAGCAATTAACTTTATACAGCTTATGCTTGTACAGTTAAATAGACACTAAAATCTTAAGGCTATGTGTATCGAGTCTTTCAGCGTACAATATTTGATATGTAGTTAACGTTACTTTTTTTTAAAATCGGCCGTAGTAAAACAGTAACCTGAGGCAAATCTGATGTATGAACAGCTTTTTTTCTCCTATAAACTACTAGTCAAAAAGCAACAGTGCAAACCTTTTCCATGCGACTAGTTTTTGCTTATCTCTGGTAAATGCTTACCAAATATGTTCTTAACTCTTAATACGTCAATATACGTATCTTTTTGGTATTTGAATCAAAGTGTACTCACCTATATTTATTTCAGAAGTATTTTTATGGGTGTTCTTCCCCTCTCCCCGAAATCAAAGTCAATGCATTGACTTCCCCAAATTTCTCAGTTTTTCTAAATCTTCAATATTTGTTCCAAGTATAAATTTTCATTGTGATACTAAACCAAACCTCCTTTAAGTTCGTTTGAAATTGAATGAAATCTCTTCTGTTGCAGCTACCCTATTAGTTGGAAATCTGATGTGTTGACATGTGGAAGCAATTGCTTATTGTCCTGTTCCCCTGATTTGGGTCCCTTTGCCTTTTCTGGGAGATGGAGTAGGGGGATGGGTTTCTTTTGTTGTATCACTTCAGCTCCTCTCTGGAGAGAGGAGAGGAAGTAAGCTGGCTCTCTTTTGAACTCTGCCCTCACTGGAGAGGTTGCTGAAGTGCACAATAAGAAGGGTGGAAGGAGTGCAGAATTTTCTCTGTGCTGTATTGGTGGCTTAACAGTCGATTCCATCGTTGGAATGTATTCGTATATTGATGGCACTCTTTTCCTTGGCTTATTCAAACTGAAATGTGTTCTGCATTTGCTTTGAGCAGCAAGTTCAGATTTCCAGTTATGTATGTTAATCAATATACTTTTACATACGTTCTCCTCCTGTGCAGAATTCAAAGCTTTGTCTAGTTCTGAGGTGTTTGTAACATTCAGGCTAATGTGTTAAGGTTCATCAGTCTATTTTTGTAGAAGGTATTGAAAGTGTTAATAATACTTATTCCAATTTATATTTCTTCTAACTTTAGCCTCACGTAAAGCACGCTCGTTTTAGGATTTAATTTTCCCCAAACTAGATTCTGTCTAGAACAAATTCTCTAACTTCCTTCTGTGTTGCAGCTACGAGTGCCACAATCATCATCAAAAATGGAGAATGGTCTTCAAAACCAGCTTGTCAGAATGGTACTTCCGGATCTGTCCCTTTAAAAGCAGTACCGAGACCAAGAATACACTCCTTGAAAGCAACTCCAAAAGGTATCTGGGTCTGTTTGTAGCTAGAACGGACCGTAGTTGCTCTTGTAATGGTACCTTACCTTTTGCACTTGGCTGCTTTGTGAACCAGTGTTTATTAAACAGCAGTCCAGGGAAATAGCGTGCGGAAGTAAAATCACAGCAGTAGTACTTTGAACTTTAGTAGAGGTAGTACTTCTACTTAGTAGAAATAGTACTTTAGTAATTATTTCTCTGCACTTGTGCTATGGACTGATCCAAGAACAATGTGGCTATGGTTTGCCTGTAACTGAGCTCAGTCTAATGCATTCTGCTAAATGGCAGGTGTCATTGCTTGGATTTTATATTGTACTAATATAATTATTTTTTTTGTCATAAAGCTCAGGTAGAATGACTCGGTAGCTGCTGGTGATCTGCAGGGTAGATGCACCTTGAATTTATCCTTGGTGTATGTTTTTTGTCTTCCTCATGCAAACTCTGCATTGTGTTCCCCCCTTTCAGGAGGGAAAGGACTTTGAGGGTGGGGTATTTTTTTGAATGGATATTATTAGATGAAATCCTTCCTAGATGAATTCACTGCCCCATTTTCCAAAGGGAGGAATCAAAGAAACAACTTAGCTCTTCATGCTGCTTGCTCTTGATGTTCCTATTGGCTGAAGTGGAAGTAGAGTCTGCTTTAATTTTTTATGGAGCTGAGACAATTGTGCTTTGCCATTTGATGCTAAAATAAACTTAATTCAAATAAATTCTCTGGCTTTGTATTAAACACTGCTCTGTTTGCCGTTTCTATTAGTGCCGGGGAGGTTGCAGTGGGAAATGATCACAAATTGTGAAGTGGGAGATGGGACGTGGTGGTGAATTACTGAGACAGTTGTGTAGCACCAGGAGCAGGTTGCCTAGTAGGGCTGTAGAAGCTTCAATGCTGGAGGTTTCCAAGACTCAGCTAGACAAAGGCATGGCTGACTGATCGTGTGTGGATGGTGGCCCTGTGCTGAATAGGAGGCTGGATAGCTGGCATCCAGAAATCCCATTCAACCAATGTTTCTGAAGCTATGCTATATTTGTTACTGAAGTGAAGTGCTTAGTAGTATTTTCTTCTGCTTATACATGTTTTTTGTTTGTTTCTGTCATCTTTTATTTCTTCTGAGTTCTGGTAAAGCAAACAAGTTTAAACCTAGCTTCAGATTTTCTAGAAGACTTTTATTTAAGGAGACTTGTGCATCTTATACTTTCTGTAAATAAGTAAAGTTAGACATGTCTTTAATTGCTGACATAACTGTACCGATAAAGCTGATCTAAGCCTCTGTATTTCTAGGAGCCAAGGCCAGGTCTGCTTCACTAAACCAGTGCTTACCAAAATCATCTGGGCCGTTGCACTCGGCAAGGAAAATCAGTGAGGCTAGAAGCAATCAGCTGTGGGGTAAAGTCAATTTTTTTTATTTACATTCTTCAGTCCCTCTCCTCTGTCTTGAGAAAGAGTAGTTATGCTCTGTGACTATAAATGTTCTCATTTATGTTTAACTTGATTGGCAACATATTTGAGAATGCTGTTACTTTTATTTGTAAAAAGGAGTGTATATTTGTAAAATTGGAGTGTATAGCTTGAAAAAAGTTACAATGGTGTTACTATAGATAATTCTGTTTCCTGATGCCTGTGGTCCTGTAAGAACGGGATAAAATAAAACAGTGCTACCTGGCTTATGTGATGATGATATTTGTAGTGCAAGAAACTTGCTTGGCTTAATAGGAATTTACCAACCATTTTCCAAATAGTTTAACTTCACGTTGCCAAGTATAGCTGTCAAACATACTGTCAGACATCACATGAAAAAACTTTGCTTCCTCATAAGCTACACAATCTATGTGGAAAGAAGTTCAAAAGACTCCCTCTGCCTCCTGCCCCATCCCCTCAATATTGGCTTGAGTGTTAATAGAGGTAAGTTGATGGAAGTGTTACTACTTTTCACTTTCTTTTCTGAAAATCATAGGTACTCCTGGGAGAAATGGACCTCAAAGCGTATCCTCTTTTGGCTCTGGTGAGTTTTTTGAATGTATTTTTATGTATGCCTGTGGTACAACTTAAAGTAGTTACATACATAATATATCGATTTCTTTCTTTTGAAGAATAATTTTCTGGCAAGTAATGCCGTAAACAATCACTGTTTCCAGTTTCAGTGGATGCAGAGAATAAGTTTTGGGGGGTATGTCTTTTTTTTTTTTATTATTTTTTTTTCTGCTTACTATCTTCTGTCTACGTGGCTCCTAGAATATGTGATCTGTGCTAAGTATCTGTCACTGTTAGTTTCCAGTAAAGCATAAGGAAGTTCTAACAGTAACAAACAAACAAACATATGGCAACAAAACTTGGATGTAGTTTTTGCTGTTTAGAGACACTGAGATGATCATTAAAACTCATTAAAAAAAAAAAATAGAAAAATCATGCAGAATAACATGTTTCTCTGGATAGTTCATGGTAGATACCCTTGTGATTTTTAGTGGCAGCATTTTCTGTATATCACTGTAGACTACACTTGAAAAGCTGCAATTATCTAAATATGTTGGTATCTGCTTGTATAGATACAAGGAGGAGAGAAATGGCAGTTGATAAAGTGGCAGATGGCACCCCAAGATCTGGCAGAGTTTGAAGGACTTCATATTGGTTTTATTCTCTGTGTTTCTGCCAGTCAGGACACCTGGTGCTAGTTTCTCTCTGCCAGGAGATAGAAGTCTTCAAATGAGGTTTCTAATTAAATGAGTTTGCCAACTCTCTTGAAAAGACCCGGAGTCTGATTAGTTTCCTCAGTATCAGGGTGTCCTTGCTGAACTAAAAGCTGCTTGTAATTACTCATTGAAAAGCACTTTTTGAAAGATGCTGAAGCTCATTGGGAAAGCCCTTTGTCTCATAAGTAAATAGCAGATGTCTGTCTTAAAGAGGTGTTCCAGCCAACCAGATGTTACGAATTTGTTTCTGGAATGAGTGGGTATGACAGTTCTGACCTGTAACTCTGGTGTTGTGGCAGTGTATTTTTAATTTCCTGTAGTTGTAACATGAGTCTAATGCTTTACTCAGTTGGACATCAAGTGTTTTGGACATCAAGCGCGTGCATATCAATCAAGTTCCTTGAGACCTCTGTTACCAGTCAGGGTTTCTGTCATGCAGCAGGTAAAAGGCTTTGCATAAGTGCTTATTGTGTGTGTTACTCTTACTAGTACTTGGCTGAACTGATGTTAGTTGAGGTATAGCCCTGAGTCTGAATTTCATGAGCTCCTATGTATAGTTCTTGTATATGAAAGTGTGTAGAGGGTAATATTGCCAACAACTTAATTATTGTCTTGATTAGTTGGTTTGAGGAGACTAACAGTAAGCAACAAAGTCTATTTCTGAACTAGAAACAGAAAATTAAATTATTCTTCCACTTCTTCATGATGATCTTAAAATGTGACTGTTGGATTTTTTTTGAAATCTATTACGGCATTTTCATTTTATCTTCAATGGAGAAAAGCAATTAATGCCCTTTCTTCCCCTCTTTTTTTTTTTTCTAGTTTAATATAATTTTTCTTCTGATTCATCTTTTCCAAGCTAATAAAGAACGTGGCTACATAGCTTTGAAGTGTTGCATTTGATGATATAAAAATGTTTATAAGCTGCAAATTGGCCATAACATTAGTGATTCTTTAGCAAATGCTTTTTAACGCCTTATTTTTCCAGTTGAATAGCTGCATTTCAGTGTTTGCCTTAAGAGTATTTCCTGTGTTGAGAATCAGCTCCGAAAATTGGACGATACATTAGACTTTTTCAGTTTTGTAGCTTGTGCTGAGTATTAGCACATTGTCTCATGTATGGCATGCAAAACTTTGTACTGCAGAACATCCAAACAGCTACACAGTATTTTTAATCTGCTGTAACATCCTCAATTGTGAAGAGGGGGAAAAGTTTAGCAAACAATGTCTTATATTTTAAGAAAAGACAAAGGATCTTTTTAGAAATGAACTGAAATAATGCCAGCTGGTACCATGTAAAAGGAGGCACATTTTTTTTTTTCAGTAGCCTTGCTTTAATAGTAAAGCTTTTGTTCTAATGAGTTTAACTAAATAAAGCTGTTGTTCTTACGTTACAGCGCCATACTTAACTACAGTTTTTAAACCCATTCAGTGAAGAGGTCCAAACCTCACTTGTCCTTCCTGCCCAGGTGCTCTCTTGGGAGAGTCAGGACTGTAATTTCTTGCAACAGGGCTTTGATAATAGATTGGTTACTCTATTTATGCATTAGTTAAGTGTCTAGCTCAATTCTTAATATTACACTTAGCATTACTTCATGGATGAGAAAATATCAGATATTTCTAGGATATTATTTTAGTTCTCTGACTGTTTGTGCTTTTATCCGTTTTTCTAGTCATTTAAGGCAATGACATAAAGCTGGAATCTGGTTAGACATAAAGTAGGATGCAACATGCTGTTAGTATGTCTGTAGAGCTGAAGAGCTCTTTTTTGCTCTTCATGCCTTGTTCATATTAAAACATTCTCAAGACTCCTTTTGTCTGAAGTCTCAATTTTCCATGGGTGTTCTTCCAGTAGACCAGATCATTTCTACAAGATGTGTTACTTATTCCTACAGCAGTGGCTTTACTACTGAGGCAAAATTAACATATTGGGCAAAATATTTTTTGTTATGTGTCAGCTTAACTTCCTAACTTCAGATGAGAATGTATTTATACATCTACTGCAATATCTTAATGTAAATTCTATTACTAAAATTGCTGCTTCCTATGAGATGTATTTTTGAACTAGGGGCAAAATTGCCTATAAGACTGCATAAAGCTAGCGCTTTCCTTTTTTTTTCCAGCTCTCCTGGTAAAAATGGGTGACCAAGCTCTAATACTTCTGTAGTCACCATATACAGTGAATATTTAGGTCTCTAGTCTCTGTTGTTACAGGAAGGCTAAGGATAAGTTACAGTACAGTAGCACCTGATACTAGATAAACTGAATAGAAGCAAATATCCTTTTTGGTAGTTCCAAAGGTGAAGCTATCATTTCAGGTAATAAAGCATGCAAATACTTATTGGGAAGCTTATGGCATGCAGTGACTCTGAAATGGACATAAGGTTTATTATGGATAAGAAGTTCCTCATGCTTCTAGCACAACACTATTGGATGTATCTATAAGGTGTTATCAAGTAAGAACAATACAACTGTGTTATCTCTCTTTGTGCAGTGATAGAGCACGCATGCTAGTATCTGTTTTGGTATTAGTTACTAAATAAGCCATGAAAACTGAAGAAAGGGAGAGCATGCTTCATCGTGAAAGATGAGAATCGGTTTTCTTAGCCTCTTAAAGAGGAAGTTACAAAGCTGCTTGTTTTAGTTGAGTCATCTGTTAGGGATATAATATTGGGGGACAGAATAACTTCAGTTGGGCGACTTATTGCAAAAGTGAATAGTAGTGCTGATCAAGCTCAAATGAAAAATGAGGTATAATTGTAACAGTCCGTGCAGTTTTCTCTTGGAATAGATTATTGCAGGTGGGTTCTGGCTTCTCAGTGAAACTCTTACATGGGGATAGGATTTCCCCCCTCCCTCCCCCCAACACAATATTCTAATTCAAACAAAAATTTGTGGAGGCATACTCTAAGACTTAGTTAGCACACCTTCCTCTCCTGCCCTCATGTATAGCTGTCAACTCACAGAGAAATTAGAGGGTTAGTATATGTTAATTGTTCTTATCTTGTGAATTCCTTGACCTTTTTTTTTTCTTTTTAAGGATGGATTGCCCTCACAAAATAGTCTCACTTTTAATGTCTGGAAAAACAAGGGATTAAGCTAGATTACATTGTACTTAATTCTTCAACAACAAAAATGGTTTCATGTTCTAAAAATCTGTCATGAAAATGTTTTTACATGAATATGTGCAAGCTTTCTTTAAATACTGTGACAATTACCATTCTGAATGCTGGTGAACATTTGTATGAATGTCAGGTAGTTAGTTAATCGATAAAAGCATTTGCTGAAGACCTAACAGCTAGTTTTCAGCACTGCATGGCAAGTTACCCTACTGATGAGGATTATCTGGTCAAGTAGCTCATTAGCTTTGTTTCTCCTTTCGTATCCAGTCTGAAGCTGTTGAAGTTTTTGCAGATTGTAGAAGAAACTGTGCAAGCAGGGTATTTGTTGCACGAAGGTTTAAAAAGAGCTTGATGCATGTGTGAGTACAAGTGCTTGTATGATCATGGAGCAAGCAGGACTGGGGAATTTGTCCAAGTTAAAAACAATACAGGAAGAGTTGTGCTTTTGGTGGCAGTTCTGGCCCAAACTGGCCATGAAACTATAGTGCTAAGAAAACATGCAGAAAACAAAGCAAACCACTTATGTCTCATAAGAGGAGGGTGCTCCTCTTTGGCCTTATCTCAGAATTTACTTTTAATAGTCTCTTTTTTTCTACTCTGTAACATAAGCTTTGTATTAGGTTTGTCTCTGGAGAATAAAGATAGGCAGATGTTGTTGTTGCTGTTTTTTTTTTTTTTCTTCCTTGAGTACCAAACTTTGCAGCTGCAAGTTTACTGACAGCAAAATTGATCTTCAGTTCAGAAGAACTTTCTTTCACACAAGAGATCCCAGTCTTAAACTGCTTTTAAAAGATCTGATAAAGAATATATATTGCAAAGCTCTGCGTGACAGTTCCTGACAAACTCTATTTCAATAATGGCAGTTTAAAATTTCACATATCCATTGAAATAGAGAGTTCTGTGGTAGTTGGTGGAGTTTTTTTAATGAAGAGAAACTTCTGTTGCATATGTGTGGGGGCTTTTTGTTTTTTTTGTCTATGTGTGTTTTTATCTTCTAACGCTGCACTCTGTAGGGCATGGGAAACGAATTACCTTAAGAATGACTTGGGGAAACTGGTGTGTGAGTATCTTAAACATTTTCAAGTTTTTTAATGTTGTACACCGGGAACCTTCTATGGTGAGGTTAAAATCGGGAGGAAGATCCTGCTTCCTAACAACTGATAGTTTGTCTAGCACTTATAAGCGCTCAGGAT